CGGGAAAAGAGATCCCGGGGCGCGCCTGACAATTGCTTCGGAGGAGTGGCTCTTCTCCTTCTAAATCACAGAATAATAGTTGCCTTTTTTGTAAGAGCATCACATTATGGACTTATATTTAGCTTCCACTATCACCCTCAATCTTTTTCTACTGTACTACTGTTGAGCCCCAGCTCAAGTCTGGGATCGTGCCCGGTATGCAAAGGCCAATAAAGATACCAGGGGTGAAAGTACAAAGAAGGTTTATTGCTAGCAATAAAAGGTGCGAGCGGAATAATTTCACGTAACAAGCACCCCGATCACTATATCTAAGCATCTTTTATACAGGAGTTTTCAAGTTTTCACGAGCGTGCTTGTTTGCTGATTGGTTGTAAGGAGTGACGCAAGGAGTTCTTTACTGAGCATGTCTCTATACCTGTGTTTTAGCCATGTATCTCATTTACATACATGTATGTTTCATTAGCATACTTCTTCCCCACCTAGGGGCGTGATTTTTAGTATTTTAATGAGCCCTATAACCCAGTACTCTGCTTCTGCTTTTGTTTTCAAGCCCCCTTTATCTAGGACTGTCTCCTCCTTATCATTGCAGGTGGGCATTTTTCACATAGCATTCTCTTCTGCATCATCTTTGAGTAGAGGCTTCTAGGTCACTCCTGACACTACCACCTAGCCATATATTTTTCATTTGTATCCAGACCGTTTCCTAAATATAGCACATTGAGGTTGTCTTTATTAAATTTTATCTTAATTTTTTATCATTTCTCCAATTTATGATCATTTAGAATTCTGATTTTGCCCTCCATAATGGTTGCAGTTCTTCCCACGTTGGTGTCATTTGTAATTTTTTAAGTGCACTATCTATTCCCTTGCCCAAGTCATTAGTGAAAATATTGAATAGAAGCCGGCCCCCCAAAAAACCTCTAGGCAACTCCACTTGACTTACCCATCCAGTTTGACAGTAAGCTATCCTATTACTACTGTTTGCCAGTGGCTTTTCAACCAATTGTACACTCACCTCATGGTGATTATATCTAGACCACATTTCCTTTGCTTACTTATGAGACTATCAAGTGGGACAATGTCACAAGCCTAACTAAAGTCAAAACACATTATATAGACTGCTTTCCCGTTATCCAGTAGGCCAATTTCCTTGTCAAAGGAGGAAATTAGATTGATTTGGGATTATTGGTCCTTGGCAAATTTATATTGTCCAGTTCTTATCACTGCATTGTCTTGTGGGTTCCTACAAATAGATTGTTCACTAATTTAATAATTTCTTTCCTGGAATCAAAGTTAGGTTGACTTATAATTCCATGAGCCCTCCCTTTTCTCCTGGATATAAATCATTGCAGTAGACATCATTTGATTTTTCCACAGCAGATAATTGTTCCTAAGTGTTCTTAAACAGCAACCCTGATAGTGGCAGAGTTGTCCTTTTGCTTCTACTAGAAGTATGGTGCTGCATGTTTCATAGATGCCTCTCCATCATTTGTTCAGTCAGCCCTGACAAAGCTTCATTGTTTATAGATAGGCCCAAGTATTTGTAATATTGTTGTTTGGTGGCCATTCCTAACGTGATTCAGTACCTCTGATCAATCAAACCAAGAAACCAACTCATATTAAAGCATAGCATGGAAATCTATACAAGCAGAATAATCCATTGGGTAGGAACCACAGGCTGGGCAAGGCATTTGGGTTCTACTACTGGAATCCCCAATAACTGCACTCTGTGACTGTGTACAAATCACTGCACCTTCCTCTGGCCTCTCTGTTCTTCATCTGTCCTGAAGGCACATTTCCTGTAGCAGGTATCAATTCCAGAAACACACCAAAACCCATGGCAGAATACTTTAACCGTCCTAGATATTCCACCTCAAAGTAGCTTTCCTTAAACAAAAAATGACTTTATAAACCAACTTGAATGCAAAATTGCAGAATAAATTATCCACAGACTGGATTATGCTAACCCTGGTCTCAACAGGGACTATGGATTCTTATAGCATTACCTGGATTAGATGTTAACTCCAGAGTCCTTCAAGATATTAACTGCCTTATTCATCTCAGCTGATCTAATCAATCTACTCTTTACCTCTCTTTGCAGTGTCCCCCTCCCCTGTCACTTTCCCTTTGATATAAAATGGTTAGTTTGGGTATTAAAACGTGTTCACTCCATGGGCAAACAGTTCACTCCATACTTACAGGTGCAAACAGTGAACTAGTTCCCACAAATTTTAATACTTCCACACTGGATCTGCTTATATTTTGCTCAAGAATAGTGAACAGCAACTGTCCAATGGTACCACTTTGCATGGTATTAAAAAGGAACACCTCATTGATTAGGAGAATATTTATTTTCCTTTAATCTCCTTGGTCTAATTACTCCACTGCCTCAAATTGTTAACTCAGTAGCTGTTGAGAGCCCAGTGGAAGAAAGAGCAGCTGCTGCCTGCTGTCTAGATGTGAGTGCAAATGTTGCCAGATTTATTAATAAGACATCAATATATGTTTTTCTGCAGGAAAACACAGTTGCACAGCAATAAGAAGTTTCCACTCCATTTTCACCCACAGAGGTTCTGTCAGGTTTTCTTTATCATTATACTGCTCACTTCTCAAGTAGTCCTGAGTCTCTTTGTTCTGAAATTGTATCATGACGTGGAGACAATAAAGCTGAAACAAGTCACAACGTGGAAAGACGGTAAGAAAGAAAAATTCACATAATCATGTTGGTTCACTTAAAATAAAGATGGTATCAGTTAGTACTTGAAGGGTGGAGAGGACCCAACAGTGGCACGGGACTGAGTTCAATGGCATTAGATGAAGCTGTTGTGAGTTTTGAACCCCAAAGTTACTTCCATCTTAGGTTGGAAGGTTTTTTCTAGATTCTGGACCTACCTGATCAAAGTTTCATTCATCCTTCAATGTGAGCTCTTACTTAGTCCCACTAAAGTTGTCTTCTTCCTCCTTACTGTAAATGGTCTATAGTCACATGCTTTGTATCCAAAAAGGCTGAGAACCTTGCCAGGTGAACAATCTGCTTTCTGCCAGCCCTGTGTGCCACCTGCACCATGGAACAATGTAGTATGTATAACTTCACCAACAAGATGTCATGCCTGTGTGTTATTATTCTTTAAAAATGCAGTTACCTGACTGTTGTTTGACAACCGGAATCATTGCAGACACAGCAGTGTACTGTCAGTAAAGCTGTAAGACACCCGAAGAGCAACTTCCAGATTTCAGCTTAGTTTCTATTGCCTTGAAGCATTTGGTACAACTTCTGCCCCAGTTTCTGCTACAAGCATTCTAGTATAAAACATAACCAAGGCATGAAACATCTATTCAGTTTGTCCAGAGAAGGAGCCCAATATAGCCATAAACATAATATCATTGGTAAAGTCTCCCATAGCATGTGGGTGCTAGTTGACAGCAAAGACATAGAGAGCTCCTTCAGGACCTGGAGCAGAATGATGGTATGCCAACCCCTGTAGGTGAGCGGAGGGGGTGGTAAGGGGAGAGGAAGTTTTACTTGCACAGTGAAGGCAGCTGCTATTGCTACTACTGCTACTGCCACAGCGGTAGCAGCATCGGCACAGGTAGCATCACCCCTGTGGCTCTTGCTCCCCTGGTTGCTTCCCCCTCACAAGACAAGCTATTTGGGCCAGGTATGTCCCTGACATAGCAAAGGAGGGAGGGGGTAGAGAACAAGGGGACAAGGGTGATTTTGGCACCTCCTCATAGTCAGCACCAAGCACTGATACCCTGCTTGCCCCATACCCCAGTTACACTACTGTTTGATGGGAATAAACCTAGTTTGTGCTAAAACTTCTAGCAGATGTATTGAATCCATGGAAATGTCATCGTAACAATGTGAAAGCAGCAACATTTATCATTTGATCATTTCCAATCACAAGAAAGAAAGCGGAAAATGGAAAGGCATGTAACGATAGTTAAAGGCCACAATAGAAGGATCAGACACAACATTTGTATATTTCTTGATTGGTACTTGAGGTCCTTGGGAATTTTGAATTGTATGTTACATATAGACTGCTCTGTGCAGATTCAGAAGACACAACAGATTATTTATCAGTCTTGTTTATAACACTTGAAGAAGACAAATGCTGAGATGGAAGCTTGTATACTAACTCAATTATTCAGACCTTAATATAAGAATCCAAGTTATTACCAGCACATGCTGAAGTGCTAATGCTGTTGTATAGCAGTTTAGTACCTCTTGTCAGAGTGGCATTTCCCGTGAGTTTAGCCGTAAAGATTTGAGGTATTACTTTGCTTTCTTACATGTCTATCAGTGAGCTTATTTGCCCTCTTTGAGTATACTTTGCTTCCTGTTGTCAAGGAACAAAAAGTTCTATAAAAGAAAGAAAAAGCTCTATAAAACCTTGGGTCGTACAAAACAAATAGATCCAAAAGGTAAAATGTATTCTGACATTCATGTGTTTCTTAATATACCAATTTTTCCTATATGGAATCTGAGATACAGAGCTGATTCTTTTTGCATGTGGCCTGTGTCCAAATAAAAATTAAGAAAAATGTACAGATTCTGGAAGGCCAGTTATCCAAGTTGGATTTATAAATCAGGAAACTGCATGTACACATGACAATTAGACAGCTAAGTAGACATTTACAAAAACATTTGCCATAAGTGCGATTTTTACGTGTCCTTTTTAAAAAGGTCTCTACCTTTTTAAAAGATGATGGAAGTAATTTAGTATCTTGCTCCAACTGAGCAGTGAATTAGTGGCAAAGCTAAGAGCTTCTGGCCCGTTTGGTTCTGTCAGTGCACCACATTGTTTCTCAGTATGAAAAATACTACAGTGGAATCAACACAGTTTTCCTAGTACAGGTCATATAGTCTAGAAACACTGCAAATGTCATTTATTCTGTGTTTCTTTTCAGTCCTCACTTTAAATAAAAATAAATTCCATGATATTTGCACTATAGTTTTCTGGTGAGGAGATGAAATAGCAGAGTATATGTAAAAACAATACATACTAAATACAATGAAGGAACTTTTTAACATCAGAAACCAAACTCATTACTGCAGATGGAAAATTGGCAGGATAATTAGACCCACTCGTCAGACACATATTTTTGAAGGTTCTCTCAGAGGTAGAAGTTATTATTTTTAATCCAGTTGAGCCCTTTCATATATCTATTGTTCTAGTACTAGATGCAGAGCAATCACTCCAAGGATTTCTGAGGCCATTAAACTAAACTGATGTTGTTGCTAGTGAACTAAACATCATAGAAAATCTCTGAAGGAAAACATGCAGCACCTTGGAAGTCAAAAACATTGCAACTGATGAATATATGAACACCACTTTCACTGTTAGGATTAACACAAATTGTTGAATTATCTGAATTATCTCAAAGGAGTGTCTGTTAGGCTTGTTCAGGCTTTACATCCAAAGTGCGTAGGCCTTGATGTTTGGAAAAAATTATTTTCCAATCCAGCCACACTGAGTAAGAGCATTAGCTATATTTTTCCAATAATTTACTATAAGCAGAAGTAGTTGAGACATCTAAGGTTGCTCAGTCTTTCCCATCATAAGTTGCTGTATTCAGTTGCTTGTAGTTTTGCCAAACTTTTAAACATTGAAGCTGAAATATCCCATGTCAGGAGTCTGTTTCAGGAAATTAATTCACTAAATTTTGGGAAAGTTTGAACAGAAAGGGTAAAGCAATTTCTAAGGATATTAACCACAAAAAAAAAACAACCCCAACCTTTTTTTCCCCCCCTTGTTAAAAAAAAAAAAGCAAAGGGGAGATCTTTTTATGGCAAATGAATGCTGGAGAATGTGATTGTACCCTTGTCTCTGGCAAAGTGTTTCTGTGTAATACTAGACAGGTCATTTAAAATAAATTGTTCACAGGTGTTCACTCATTTTGTGTCTTTCTCATTTACAAGAAGCTTTAAAAAGTTGGAGGCCTAGCACACACATTTTGAAGAAAGGCTGAGCCCTTGTTGGAAAATTTTGAAGTGCACACAAAATCAGTGGACACTTTTCACCTTACTCTCTCTGTGCCTCAGTTTCCCACTTGCAAAATGGCAATAAGCATACTGATCATTATAAATGGGTATATCATGAAATTAAAGTAACTGATGTTATATAGCACTCAGATAAACAATCAAGTATGACACTGAAAAGTCCAGGGGGAAATTACTAATTGGACCTTCAAGCTTAGTATGCATAGTGTACAATAAGAAAGACCTGGGGTCACGCACTGAACAATGAGGGAAAAGAAAATATTGAATAGCTGCTCATTCAGGAAGCACAGTCCAGTCTCCTCATTGAAAGAGGCAGAGGTCCTGAGGAAAAAAAAATAGACTTTGATTATGTAATTAAAGACTCCTGTAAAACTGTAATTCAAACAAACTGCATTGAGGTTGCACAGAAAACTTTATTTTGAATGGTTCTTATTTTTTTTCTGTGCTTGATTTTGCAACCTTAATGCTCCTTCAATCTAGTCATCTTTAGTACTTCAAATAGAGATACATTTATTGGCTGGTGCACTAACTGTTAGTATTTATGTAGTTCCAAAAGTGTGTTTTACTCTTTGCAGAAAGATATCCGTGTTCTATGTTTGGAATCCTGCTGTATTTTCAGGTCCTTGTCTTTTGCATGTGGCCTACAATTTTGTGGGGTTTTTTGTAATGTGTGCATGCCGGCACAATTCAACATGATTACCCATAGTCTTGGATGAGGAAAGCCTTAGGAATGAAGTAGAATACATATTGCCTTTCTGGATTAAGGTAAATTACCAGAACTTTGTAGAAATAATGGACCTAAAATCGCACTTATTTCCAGCCGTTGGCTTTGTCCCCTCATTTGCAAAACACTAAATGAATCCACAGAATTTAAAATAATAAAAACACCCTCCAGACCTTTCATTTGTGCTTGTAAGTAATACTGATAAATCTGAAGTGCTGATTATTATTATGTGTCTGACACACTTCCAATTACAACAGACGTGCTAAATAGTTACTGACTCTTTTGCACCTTCCAAGTAATTTAGAAAAGATTTTGATAAATTGTAAGCAGGTGCAAAGCTAGCATATACTGGATGATGAACCAAAGGCCTTGATAAATCAAGTTCCTCTGAGCCAGGAAATATATGCTGAATAATAAGAATCACAAAAGAATTCCAGCCAAGGGTCACTAAATATTTGCAATAACAACTTCCTATTCAAACCCAGAGAAGATAACATCAACAACACCCTTACAAGCATCCCCTTGCTATTATAGTACAATGTGTATCACAGTTTTTTCTGGAAGTCCCAGCCAAGTTAATAGTATGTGGTGTACTAGGAGCTGTACATTCACATGGTAAAACACAATCCCTGCCCCAAATAACTGACAATGTATACATAAAAAAACTTTGGATAAAAAATGTTTCCTACAAATGATGAAATGAGACACATTTTGTTTAACAGAAAGCTAAATACTAGAACAGATGACCTAGTCTTTAAATGCAGATTAGGCAAGCATTTGGGGGTTATAAAGTAACTAGGTAATTCCTCATCAAGAATGACAGGGGGTGGGGATGGGCGGGGATGGGGTGCCCATCCCCCCGTACCACTGCTGCCTCCCAGGAACAGAGTGGGGGAGAGTTTGCCCCGCTGTCCCCTCCATCCCTCTCTGCCAGCACCCCACACCACTGCTGCCTCCAAGTGCTCCT